CAGAAACACGTAAGAGAAGGAAAAGGCTGGGAGAAGGAAACTCTCGAAAAGGAGGAAGAGGAGGACGAGAGAAGAGGTGAAAGGATGAGGAAGAGGAGGAAAAGCCAAGAGGACCACGCATCCCGTCGGGAAGGGCCGCAGTTCATTTTTGCTCTTTCAGAACCTTCTTGCGGCCACCCAAGGCGGGCTTGAGTAAAAAAGGCGTAGGTATCAAATGGGAGCATTGTTGTTGTTGCTGTTAGTGTTGCTGTTATTGTTTTTGTTGTTGGTTGTTGCTGTCGTAGTGCGTGTTGATGTTAATGCTGGTGTTGTTGCCGTTGTTGTTGTTGTCGTTACTGGTGTTGTTGTTGGTGGTGGTGTTCTTGTTGTTTTTGTTGCATGTGGTGCTGTTGTTGGTGTTGTTGTTGTTATAGCTGTTGTTCGGGAGGCTGGTGCGGCCGGGCCCCGGAATGCCTGAGCGTTCCGCAGGAAACGCAGCCGGCGCCCAGGCGAGAGCCCCAGGGCGTATTCAGAGGGTGCAACAGTAAGATTTGTTAAGTAATTGAGCTCCCACATCGCGTCTGGAAGCCCCTCAGAGGCGATTCCGACACGACGGCCGCAGTCTTGAGTAAAACGTTGCGAAATACCGAGCGGGAGAGCCGTTGTTGTAATGGTGGGCCGTTTGCGGCGCCGAGGCGAGCCGCCGATCCTGCGTCAAAGGCGAGGACGTATCGAGCCGGAGCGCTGATTTGGTGGGGAAGCCGGCAACGAACGAGCGCAAGCTTCGATGTCGCAGGCAATGCAGCCGGCGCCCAGGCGGGAGCGCCAGGGCGGATCTAAGGGGGACAATTCTTATGAATAAGAATTGTTTAATAAATGGGGTGCAACAACAACAGCAGTCATGTTAAGATTGCTCGTTTTCATGTTCTCGCGTGCCATTCCGAACGTGAATTCCAAACCTTCGATCCGCGCCCTCTTCGTCTACGATCGTACCCCCTGAAGGGTATACCGCTCCTGCCTGCAACGCGTATTTCGCGCAGCCCCTGAAACAAGGGAACAGGGCGGATGGAAGGAACGGACAAAGGACAAGCGGGTTGCTGAAGCGTGCGTCCTGCATGAATCGCGTGGAAATCTCGAGCGATATCGCGTTTGCCGAACAATCGTGATAAATCCACAGCGGGAGCGTACTTCCTGAGTGTCGAGGGCGCGGCGTCTGAATACATTGCGCGGGGATCGCACTCGAGAGCGCGTGTCCTTCATAAATTGTGAAGGCGTCCCGCGCGAGAGCGCAACTTGGAAATTCAGAAACCGTTCGGTGACACCTCACTCTCCCTTGTAGAAACCCGGGTTAGAGCCCCAGGAGAAACATTTTCATTGAACAAGTACAGAATGGTTGCTGGGAGGGGGGGGGCGACAATAATCATTTTTCCGGAATGAAATTTCAACAACAACAACAACAACCACAACAACAACATCAACAACCTCACCAACCCCATTACAAACACAACGCTAACACCAACAACACCAACAGCAACGACGACATCACCAATTATCATTTTAAGACTGTTCGCTGTCATCTGCTCGCGAGCCAGTTAACACGTAAATCCCAAACTCGCGATCCGCACCCTCTTCGCCTTCAGTCGTACCCCCTTGGGGGTATATCTTTCTTGGACAGTGGGAACCCGAACCCAGCCCCCACAATTATGGATTTACACGTCAGCGTTCTGCATTTACGGCGAATGAGCGTCAGTGTGGGCGCCGCGTCGGCGAGTTCATTGCCAGCTGCCGCAGGGGGGCCCCGTGCGCGCGGCGACGTCCTGGGCCCGCTCGACGCGGCCGCGCCCGCGCCGGCGTTCCCAGGGCGGCGCGTGCCACGGCCGCGGTTCGCAGTTCGAGGCGACGGCGGCGCTATCCTTCGCGCGGCAGCGCCGCTGGCCCAGCCGAGGGCCCCCGCGCCCGCCTTCGCCGCCCCCTCCTGACCCCGCCGGCGGGGCGGAAAAGTCTAGATCGGGAGCGTTTCTCGTAAGGCAATTTGGCCCATATAAAGTTTTCTCGGCATTTTTTATCAACGCGTTTTTTTGCTTATATAGCTATTCGGGGCTCTCCCGCGCGAGATTGTCTGCTTCGGAAAAGTTTAGATCGATTGTATATCGAGTTCAGGTAAAGTTTTGTCGCCAGGTGCCTTACTTTTGTTTTCGGGGTGGATCTAAACTTTCTGATGCGCGCCCGCGCGGGGCGGGCCCTGGGCGCCGCGTGGGCCTGTTGCCAGCGCCGCCAAGGGCCGACGCGCCCCTCGGTTTTTGCCCTGGCACGAGCGCGTGAATGTCCACGATGGTTTTGGGCATTCACCGCGTGCCGGCACAAGGGAACGCCAAGTCCGAATGCCAATGAGCATGGCAGCAGTGCGCAGTTCGCATTGAATGTCACGGCGTTGTCGTTGGCTGACCATCGAGCAGTTTCCGCCCCCAGTTCGCGCGTCGTTTGACGGTCCCATTGGTCTGAAGTTCGTCATGTGGGGCCGTGGGGCGCTTTTGTTCACTTCTTACCTGCAGCGTGTATTTTGCAGCCCCTGAGGGAGGGGAAGAGAGGCGGGTCGGGAAGACTGGCCCAGGCGGCCTGGTCGAGCAGGCGGGTCGCTGAAGCGTGCGTTCAGCATGAATCCCGAGGAAGTCTCGAGCGATAGCGCGATTCCCAAATGAATTGTGAGGAAATCCACAGCGAAAGCGCGTTTCTTGGGTATCGAGGGCACGGCGTTTGAATACTCCGCGAGGAAGTCCCACGCGAGAGTGTGATTATTGTGTAAATTGTGAAGACGTCCCGCTGTTAATGAAAACTGGGGGGCTAATTTACAGTTGGTTTAGACTTCGTTTTACCTTGTCAAGACAGGGAGCGAGCCGCAGGATCATCAGTCGAATTGAGACACACGACGGTTACCAGAGGGGGATCCATATCTTTTTAACAGCCATAGCAACAACAAAACAACAAAACAACACACGCATGTGAAACATGAGTGTTGTTTATGTTCGCGCGTTCTTAAACACATCCCTTCAACACATATATCCCGGACCTTCGACACGCGCCCTATCCGTCTTCGATCGTACTCCCTTACGTGTATAGTTTTGTTTTGTGCATCGTGCATGGCGTGCGGGCCCTAAAGGAAAGGTACGAAAGGACGGACGGAAGCAATTGACAAGGAACCATGGGAAAACCCATCGACCGTGATAGAGACAACTGAGCACCAAACGGCACAAGCGTAGCACCGACAAGCGGTGGGCCACTAGAGGTCGGAGGGCAAAGCCAACCATTAATATCATTACTATGAATTTGGCAGCCATGGGCGACATGCGCAGGAAACGCAGGGGCGGCCGCAGGGCGAGGGAGGGGGGCCCACAGCGACAAGGTCTGGAGCAGCAAGGACAATAAACTGATGGCCTTGCTGCGCATCACGCTCAAACTGCTGCTCCAGACCAAGCACAGGACGCGCCTCAACAGCAGCATCAACATCGAGACGTACACGATGACGACGAAGCACCCACTCGTGGACGGGATCTCCGCCGAGTTGGAGGGCCACAAGAATAGGTTAGACAAGCTCCGCAGCGGATGCGCGGACGACAACCATAAACTCAAGGAGAGATGGCCCCCAGCTCCAGCATTGGGGCTCGCCGCGCTGGAGAGCCTCCTGAAGTGCGACGTGGGCGGGGCATCCAAGCAGGATATCAGCGCCTACCTGGAGCATGCCCAGCCGCCCGACGAGATGTCCGAAGCCCAATTCACGAAACACGAACTGCAGTAACATATCAGCTTCATACGGCTCGGTCGATGCTTTGACGCGGGCAAGGCCAAGCTGATCGTGGGGGCCCCAGAGTGGCCAGGCGGCGAGCTAATCATTAAGGCGCTGGCCGCCGAGGGCGCGGCGCAGCACCGCCGCGGGGTGGCGCCGGCGGGGTGGTTCGAGGAAGAGGTTGCGCACTGGCTGGAGACGCTCGAGCAATAGTTTTCGTTAGGGGACCCCCGCTCCCTGCCTGCCGCCACGGTGTACAGGTACAACGTCAGCGCCCGCCATCAGAATACTCAGAGCAGGAGCATGCCACAGGGCGCGCGCCGCCAGTCTTGGATGACTCAGAGCAGGAGCGTGCCGACGGGCGCGCGCCGCCAGCCTCGGCAGCTTCTGTCGTCGCTTCCAGGCCAGAGCCCCCAGGTCCTGCGAACTCGGGGTCGGCAGGACGTTCGCAGCCAGTCTCAGAAGACTCAGAGCTGGAGCATGCCACAGGGCGCGCTTCGCCAACCCTGGAATATTCAGAGCTGGGGCATGCCGCAGGGCGTGCGCCGCCAGTCTCAGTTTTTTCTGTCTTCTTGTCGGGGCCAGCAGATTCGGTGTCGGCAGGGCTGGCACAGCCAGGCTCTGCCGACTCGGGGTTGCCCCATCTCGAACGGCCCGAAGGCCGACACGATCAGCTCGACAGAGCAGCAGAAGACGAGGCCGCAGCTTTTTTGTTTGACGGATAAATGCCTCCTCGAAGCGTCTCGCGGCAGCGCGACGCAGCCCCCCTCTGTCAGCGCTGGCGAGACGTGGCCCCAAGAGCGGGGATTCACGAAAGATTCGGCTCTCTGCGGCGGACCATATTTGTTACGCTGCGCCGGCTCTGTTGGTCCTGATGTCGGTTAAAAATATTATGAATTTGGCTTCGCCCTGCTTCGCCGCCGGGATTTGCGGCGCAAGCCGAGACGGGGGCGACCAGGTGCCTCTCGGGCGCCGACGTGGAAGCGCAGAACTAGGCGGCGCATGACTCGAACCCTCATTGAGCCAAAGTGGTTGCGGACGAGAAGGACTGAACGCGAGGGAGGAGTGAGGGGGGCGGGGGAGGAGGAGGAAGAGGAGGACAAGTAAGAAGATGAGGCGGAGGAGGAGGAGGACGAGGAAGAGGCGGAGCTAGGGCACGAGGAGGCGGGAAAAAAACCGGGGGGAGGAGGAGGAGGAGGAAGAGGGCCAGGGGGATGTTGACGGGGGGCAGGCCGCGGCCATGCCTCTCCCGGGACACGCGCCGAAGTCGGGCGCCATCTCGGCCGTCAACGCCGCCGCCACCTTCAGCAGCGTCGCCCGGCAGGCCAGCCCCTGCTTATTTGCTCGGGCGTTGCGCGATGGGGGGGGCGAGCCATCGAAGACCACCGGGCGCGCTCCGGCACTCCAGGAGGAAGACAAAAGAGGAGGGAGGGAGGGAGGGAGGAGGAGGAGAAGGGAAAAGGAGGAGGAGGAGGAGGGAGGGAGGGAGGGAGGGAGGGAGGGAGGGAGGGAGGGAGGGAGGGAGGAGGAGGAGGAGGAGGAGGAGGAGGAGGAGGAGGAAGGAAAAGGTGGAAGAGGAGGAGGAGGAGGAGGAGGAGGAGGAGGCGTCGCCGGGCGCGCTCCACTACGTACTCCCAGAGTTCTTCCTCGCAAGCGTCCGAGAAACCCGGGTTCGCTTCGGCGTGCTGGATCGCAGCGGCGGAGACAGGCCTTTTGCGAACAGTTACCTTTTTACAAGTCGTGGATCTCGCTTGTTTGGAAGAAGATAACCTCGTAAACATAAACTTTAGGAGCTCCGCGGGGACTTTTGGGATCTGCGCTGGGGCCCCTAGGCGGCGCCTCCAGCGCCGCTCCTGGCGCGTTCCCCGCGCCAGTGAGGAAGGTCCGGCACCGATCCAAGAAATCCACGCGGACCTACGAGAAATGATGTTTACGTTTCATGTTGTTCCTCTGGAGCAATGGGGGGGTGGAGGGCACCTCTGGAAAAATGTCCTAAAGGGGGCCCGAGAGAGGCCCCCTGGGGCCCCGAATATACACGGAAGGTTCAGCTTTCTCCCGCCCCCCCCCGCCAGTTGCCCCCGATCAAGCAGCGCCCGACGACCGGCTCTCTGCGCCGTAAAAAAAACAAGTCGGAAGGTTTTCGGCTGTTTTCGTTTGTTCTCCAAGCTGTTCGTCGGTTTGTTAGAAATTCTCCAGCCTCGGGATGCGTTCCTGGCCGCCAGACACCGAATTTCGACCCTACAGCCAGACATCCTCGTGTAAAACACAGAAGCACGAAGCAAGGCTTTGGCGATTTGGGGCTTCCGGAAGGCTTCAACGGAGCTTGGAGCCGTCAAGACCCTTTTTCGGAAATGATAAGTTGTGAATTCGGAAGGGATCCACACCTCTGGAGAACCGCGTTGCGAATACGAGGACCGTGTCGGATATTTGGTTGGGTGGCGCAGGGTTGATCAGCCCATACGTTTTTCCTCTTTCTCCCCTTGTCGTCCTCCTTATCCTTCTCCATCTGCCTGCTCCTCTCTCTCCTCTCCTCCTCTTCTTACATTTCTCCCATGCTCCTCCTCCTTCTCCTCCACGTCCTCCTCCCCCTCCTCTCCTCCTCTCCCTCCTCGGTCTCCTCCTCCTATCCCTGCTCTTCCCCATTGATCATCACCAGCTTTGGTTGCAGTGGTCCAGTCCTGTGGGGGCGCTGCAGTCCGGTGGGGGCGCTGCAGTCCGGATCTGTAGCTGAGGGGGGCTTTTCAGTCGGGGCGGAGGGTATTTGTTATTTTTATTTGTTTTTGAGTGGTCGCAATGTGTTCGCAGGGAGGCAGGCCGAGGCGGGTGCGCCATTCGACACGAGACGTCCGCAAATGTTCCCTAAGTCCTAAGTGAAAGACGCACGTGCGGATCAACGGCATATTCTGAAGCGTTGTGCGTATGCGTGCGTGTGCGCGTGCGCGTGCGTGCGTATGCAGGTGTCGGTGTAGCTGTAGGTGTAGCTGTATGTATAGGTGTTGGTGTACGTCTAGGTCTAGGTGTCGGTGTAGGTGTGGATGTGAGTGTGGATGTGAGTGTGGGTGTGGGTGTTGGTGTGCAGGTGTGTGTGTGTGTGTGCGCATGTGCATGTGTAGGGGTGTGTAGGGGTGTGTGTGTGTATGTGTATATGTGTGTGTGCGTGTGTGCGTGTGCGTGTGCGTGTGTGCGTGGATGTGCGTGCGTGCGTGGACATGTCCGCAGTCGATGCATGGCGCCCTGGCACCTTCTCACACGGTCGACGCATTAGCACCGTCTCGGTGCTTGTGTAAGAAGCCTTGCGAAGATGGGCGGTTCAACCATCGAATGAGCAGCATTCAGGATGAATGCGCGTAGGGCAGCGAACAGGAGCAAAGACGGTGATCGGGGGCCAGGAGTACGAAGGAGGCGCAGCAGCTGTAGCCAGATAAAGAGGAAAAGGAGGAGGAGGATCAGAGTAAACCCAGGATGCGTCAACGATGTTGCAGCACACCCTCCTGTCCAAAGTCCCCTCCCCATGAGTCATTACGAGCTTCTTGTTTCACTACAAGAAGCATTCCTTTGAAAGGCCAGCACCGGTTGGGCCTGCCATTCAGGTCAGAGCTCCATTGTGGAAATGAGCCGCCTTGCACCCTTGTAGCGCGCAAGCAGGAGCGCGAGAAACTATGATCCTACCTCTGAGCGAGGTGACCAGCGATACAGTGGAGGCCCATGCCAAGAAGCACCCTGCTTGCCTCCAGGGTGCCCTGGGTTTTCTTGGGTTTCGATGGTTCTGCGATGGAGAGCGTGACGTTCCCACACCAAAAGCCACTGGGTTTCCTGTGGAAGGTTTTGTGTGGACGGGCCTCCACCTGTACCTCGAAAGCTGGGCGAGGGCTGCTAAAACCGTGGCTGCTAAACCGGCCCTCCCGGAAGGAAGAAACAACTTCCCGGATTGAGGCGCGGCGCGCGAAACAGTCAACGGGTCTCTCCCCCGAGTGACGAAGACAGCTTCCCGGAGGTCGATTTTAGCAGCCACGGATTTCGCAGCCCTTGTCCGGCTTCCCAGCATCCCCTCTTCGCAGAATCACCGCCACCTCACCCGTGTCACTGCTGCACCAGCTGCGGGCCCTAAGAATGTGCACCACCACCGCGCCGATTCCTCCCTCCACGACCCTCTCCTTCCTCTCCATTTTCCTAGGGGAGGGAGGGGGGGAGGGAGGTGGTGGTGGTGTACTCCAAATTTTGTAATAAAGGGAGGGGGGTCTCATTTCGGAGGGGGGGTCTCTTCCAGGCTATCTTGGAGGGCCTGGGGGGTCTGGGGACCATGTTTTGGAGGGTTCTCCCACGGGGGGGGGTCTGAAATGGCTTGTCTTGGAGGGTCCAGACCCCCTCCCTTTTATTACGAAATCTGGTGTATATGTTTGGGCCCCGCACCAGTCCGCTGCACGTGTGGCCGCGAGGCGCGAGGGAAGCCGGACGCGACGGCGCCCCCTCCCCGACGCGGCGCCGCCCTGCGTCCGTGCTGTGCGGCGTGTGTTGCAGTCCCGGCCCGTCCAACTTTACGTCGGGCGTGCCCCTCTTCGGGGGCGGCCAAGAGGGGGGTGATGACCACGGTAGGTTCGCGTCGTGTAGACCGGCGGCGACCCCGCCGCGGGCGTTCAAGGTTGAACGCCGCCAGTGGCCCAGAATCGGCCTATATGGAACGATCGAGCGATCGACGGTCGCCGATCGTTCAAGGTTGAACGATCCACGCGGAGTCAGAAACCAACGCCGGGGTCGTCACGACACGAACCTGACGTAGGGGGGGGTGGATATCATGGCGCAGGCCATGATATTCCCCCAGATCTCATGGCGCCTCTTCTTACTTCGTTACGTCCCTGGCCCCCCCCGGGGGCCGCGCACATGCCGCCGGTCATGATTTGCACCCCCCCTCTTGGACACCCCCCTCTTGGCCGCTCCCGACCTCTACGGGAGGAATATCCAAAAATAGTCAAACAAAACAGTCTCGGGACGATGTTTCTACCATGTTAGTCTATTTTTGCATATGCCTTCACTATGTTTTATCTCTCCTCCAAAATGAGCCTGTAGGAGGAAACGCCCGGCCTGAGGCCAACTCCACAAAGTGGTGATCGAGGACCTTGTCCTGAAAAAGAGCCGTGCTCCCGCCCTGATCTGCTGAGTTCGGATGCAGCTGCTGGGAGGTCAAGTTCTGATTTTGCCCTGGTCCGAAATCCAGACTTATCCGGCTTGATCCCGCTCAATCCGGCCGAATCTCGCTTGATCCCGCTTAATATGCGGCCTAATCCTGTGTAAGAGCACCCCAAGGGGGTTTCATCCTTCTTAATCCTTCCGACAAAGACCTCCCAGTAGATGCCGCCCAAGCTGAGCACCGCACTGAGCTGGACCCCCCCGCGGCCCTCGAAAGTGGGGAGGCAGTTTCGCAGGTCGCAGCCCCCAGGGGATCATGAGGTCCCGCGCGGATTTCCGTGGCACCGCACTGAGCTGGACCCCCCCCGCGACCCTCGAAAGTGGGGGCAGCTTCGCAAATAGCAGCCTCCCAGCTCCCCTGGGATGGCGAGGTCGGAGGCAGGTACGAGAGAGGTGCGAGACAAGACAAGATGATTTTTCTTTTTTCCTCTCTCTCTCTCTATATATATATATATATATATCGTGTTTTTGTTTATCTCTCTCTCTCATTCTCTCTATGTATATATGTATATTTGTGCATCGAGAGAGAGAGAGAGAGAGAGAGAGCAAGGAGGTGGGCGGGAAAGGAGTGTCGCGACCACAGTGCCCTATTAAAACTTATCCCGGCAAAGCAATCTAACAGCGACATGTAGGAACATATTTGGAAGCATTCCCCTGTAGAATTCTGCTGTTCTCGCAGTCGCAGTCGCATTCGCGATGACAGTCGCAGTGGCAACGGCAGTCGCAGTCACAGCCTCAGCCTCAGCCTGCCTCAGCCTCAGCCTGCCTCAGCCTCAGCCTGCCTCAGCCTCAGCCTCAGCCTGCTTCAGCCTCAGCCTCAGTCTGCCTTCAGCCTCGGCCTCAGCCTCAGCCTGCCTCAGCCTCAGCCTGCATCAGCCTCAGCCTCAGCCTCAGCCTGCCTCAGCATCAGCCTGCCTCAGCCTCAGCCTCAGCCTGCCTCTCAGCCTCAGCCTGCTTCAGCCTCAGCCTCAGTCTGCCTTCAGCCTCGGCCTCAGCCTCAGCCTGCCTCAGCCTCAGCCTGCATCAGCCTCAGCCTCCTCAGCCCATCAGCCTGCCTCAGCCTCAGCCTCAGCCTCAGCCTGCTTCAGCCTCAGCCTCAGTCTGCCTTCAGCCTCGGCCTCAGCCTCAGCCTCAGCCTCA